ATCTAGCAATTGCCATTCTCATTTGGATCCGAAATGTTCGTCTTTATGGAGGTCGCTGACTGCGGTGGCACGCCGCTGGAGGAACAACCAGCCAAAATGGCTGGAGCATTCAGATTGTTTCTGCAAGGTTTGGGATACGTGCCAAGTTTAGTGCCATTGAAACCGCAGAAGCCTTACGATCCCAGAGAGAATCACAGCCCAATACGGACGTCTGACCATACATACGCCAACTTATATACAATTGTATATAGAATAGTATATGCTGATACAATGGTATGCGGGTGGCGTGCAATGATTTTAGAATTTGATTCGTACAATGATGCTCAGCCGTAAGATGTAACATTTATAATAATCTTTATTGTATCATACGGTTATTTAAAATCTGTTCGTAGTTTTTAGTAATTTTTACTTGGAAGATTCCGTTGTTGTTTAAACCTTTTTAAACCGGTTCTATGCAGATATCGAAAGGGTGCATTTAAAAACATGTTTTCACTACAAGAATACTGGTATAGTGGTATGTTGTTTTTTATGTCTAGTATTATGTAGTAGCGCCAGTAAACTGTAAATATTTACAGTTCACTGAGTAGCGCTCAGTCACAACTAGACATTTCGTAATTTTATACGTACACAAGATTAAAATTAATGTACGATCACACGTCAGACTAAACTCAATTATAATTATCACTACTGCAACTACATAATAGGCACTTCCTGCCAGTAGGGTGGTACCACTGAGTTATAGTATAGCTCAGTGGGTGGTACACAGGTCAGGCTAGCAGGTAGCCTGCATGGCAGGCGGTTCGCCGGTTCTAAAATCGGGCAAGCCTGGGAAATTCGACCAGAAAGACCTGCGGCCTGCCATGCAGGCAAGCGAGCAAGACCCCCAGCAGTTTCGTCCTCAGCGACAGCAAATAACACTTCTTGCATCTGTGGTACATATTCTGGTATTAGGTAATTAGGTCTGGAAAAGGTTGGCGGAAGTGCAGGGCAAGTTCTCAATATTAATATTGTGATACAATGATATTATATAGTGTATTTTACTAGCAACGTATACTTTCTTTTATTAAACTCAAGGCATATACTGTCAAGGAACAGTCGGATTTTCTCGAACAAGAAATGAAGAAACGTTCCATCATTTGTCTTCTCTAAAACATCTTTCGCTTCGTCCCTGCCCATCTTCCCTATTTATACTGGACAGCTCTGTCAGTTTTGAACAGGCAGCTCACTGGTTCTATAAAAGACTAAACTGCTCTTTCTAGAAGTCCAGTAAGGTCTGTAAGATTTTCCATTTGTATGAGCAAAACACAATTGCTTTCGCACCTTAATTTGTAGTTCTTTTATCAGATTTATTCTTGAGCCTCCACCCACCCCATTTTCGACGGCCTTGTTAATTATGTAAATAACTCTAAGCGCTGATACTGAATATAATACCACCAAGCACTTATTTATGCAAAAATCAAATGCTAAAAAGGGCGAGTTTGGGCCAAAATGTTTAACTGATTTTTATTAATATCAGACATATGAAGTCCCGTCTTGACCTTAACCAAGAATTTTTAGCTACATTTTGTGTATCGACCTATTGCACGTGACGTCACAGCGCCGGTGACGACGCATCTGGAGAACAAATTAGCAATCTATGCATAATATAACTTTTGTAAACAAAGCAAATTTTGTAAAACTTTATAATAATTTTGTACTAAAATGGTTAATTTTTGCGCTGTATGTGGTCGTTGTACCCGAACAGGTATTGTTAGGGAGCTTCTGGAGGACACTCCAAGGATTTGTGACGTCAGTGGAATGGGTCTATAACACAGTTTCTGAAGGCGTTCGAAAATAATGCTGACGTCAGTACTTTTATTTTTCAAGACGCTGTATAAACTCGACCACGTACCAAAAATTTCGAATCAATAGGATTAATTCCTCGTACTCAGGGTTCTCTTTGTGCTAGAGAACCTTGGGTGAACACTCGTAATAATATATAAACAACATATAAAACTTTCAGTATTATATAGGTAAATGAAATTCCTGGAAATTGGACGAAAACCTGCATAAGGCCCATTGCACCACAATGAAACTATTTACATCGGTTCATAGACCCAACATGGGTTTATTATTATTGCATTTAAATAACATACAAGTCTCTTTGTGCAACAGAACGTCAACTAAACAAGTTACAATAAACACCTCTTTCACGTAACGAAGTTGGTGAGTTGCTTTTCCTGTCTTAGAATTTAGACTTCGTTTCCACGAATTTACTCTCTCTGGGACCCTGGCAAAGAACTTAGACATGTTTTGTCGAGTTTTAGTTTTTCATTTCGGGGCTTTCTTCAGTGACAATGTTCAGTGAGAGGGCGATAATGCCGTTATGACATTATTATTCTCAAGAACGTGTGAAGGCCACGGCTCGAAAATGATTATGTTGATTAATATTGGCTGATGTTTCAAACGCTAACGCCCTGGTAGCACAGAGCTTCGTCTGTTAAAACTACAAAGTTTGTATTCTTCTATACCACAACACGAAGTCAGCTTGTGGCCGTCTGTGCATCCAACAAAATGTAAATTTAACAGTGCGTGCAAAGTCGTGCTTTTATTAACAAATTTGAAACAGTAAAAGTGGAATCCGCTTAGCAGCGATCCAAGCGATCCTTGAACGTAACCGTCTTTTTCTTCTTTCCGCTCTTTTTCGCGACAAAATGGCCGCGGTGGAAATGGACGTCGACAATTTTCGTGTTCTTGAAGTCATCCATGTGAAGAATATCTGGCGAGTCCGTGCCGAGGGAATGCCGATAGATCTCGATCTTGGGCAACTGCGCTTGCTTGAACATAAATAGACCTGAACAAATAAACAAAACTAACTGTAAAAGAGTATGTGAATTGAAACAAATACTCGTGTATTTTTTAAGGATTCTTCAGTGGTGGGGCAAAACTGCCAAAGGGCCTATTTTCCTTGCCCACAAATAAAACTTTCGG